TTTTTTTTTTTTTTTTTTTTTTTTTAATTGTAAAATTTCCAGCTCGACTGGTTTGGAGCCTCATTTGGATAAACAGGAGGGTTTGGGAGCCTATCTGAACTCCTGGTTCCTGTCAGACCAGTTCCAGCCCCAGCCTGGCCAATCCCTGAGCAGAAATTTATTGAGTTTGGGGTTTTTTTTTTTTTTGTTGTTGTTGTTTTGTTTTTTATATTGAAATCGAAACGCTCTCAGCTAAATACAGGGTGGAAAACCGACGCAGACAGCACAGCCTCGATCTCAGTTCTCTTTTTAAACCGAGTTTTATTTTCTGCTGGTTTCTTTGCTCTGTAACTCCTGTGAGTGCTTTGAAAGGCTGCATTAAAGCCTCGAGCTCTGCCTTAAAAACCCCAGGGCCAGAAATTAGGGTCACATAACCCGCTTAGAGAGCCTTGAGCTCCACAGGAAATCTCCTATTGGAAGGGCTTAACGGGGCCAAGGTGATTTGGGAGCGTCCCTCCAGATGAGCACACCAGGAACTGGGAGCTGGGAAAGGGATGGTCAGGAATAAATGGGAGCTGGGAATTTGGGGAGCAGGGGAACCTGCCTGGTCAGCTTGGCTCATCCTCATCAGTGCCTAATGAGCACAGTTAGCCCCTAATGGCCAATTAATAGCCCTGCTTATTAGAGCTATTCTGGGCCAGACCTCCTGCTCCAGTCCAGTGACTCAGGGCTGGAGGATTCCATCCCAATATTCCTTAGGCTGGCAGAAACCAGCCCTGCTCCCAGCTGGGATGGCCAAGCTCAGCTCAGTGAAAAAAAAAAAGAAAAGAAAAAAAAAAAAACACACAAAAAAACTCACAGGGTTATTTTTAAATTTAGATTTTTACATTTAAATTTTTAAATTTAAATTTTTTAATGTTTCCCACCGGGATGGCTTTTGCTGGGTTCCCACTTTTCCTGCTGATCCACCTGGCAGCAGAGGTGTGTCCAAAGCTCTGGACATGCTGAGTGTTTATCCAAACTCTTCCAGGGGTCTCTGGAATATCCAACCCCTTCCCCTTGCAGCGTGCTGGGCTCTGGCTCTGCCAGGCCTCTCTCATGTGTGGTGCTGATTTAAAGGAAAAAAAAAAAAAAGGAAAAAAAAAAAAAGTCCTTAGACTTTAATCCTTGGGTTTATTTCAAAGCTTACAAAGGCAAATCTGGTTTGTGGAAGAGATTTGCCTGATTTCTTCTGCTCTGGGGATGAATGGAGGAGCAGATGGGGAGGGAGGGGAGGATTTGGGGACCCCTCCTCACAAACCTGACCCTCCCCTGCACTTTGGAGCTGCCCAGGGCACGAAATGGGGTCAGTGCAGAGCCCTGCTTGGGCAGGACCTGTTGGATTCCCCTTTTCCCACAACTTCCAAACCCATTTCCCTTCCCCTGATTCCTGTCTCGCTCCCAATTCCTGTCCCAGGGTCTGCACAGCCCTCGGTGGGAAATCCCATGTGCAGAATAAAACCAGCTGCAGGCAAGCAAAAGGCCTCAAAAAATTCCTGTTAGACCCCAAAATGTTGGCTTGGGGTCCAGCTTTTGTGTTTTTCAGGCTCTCTGCTGCTCGGTGTGTAACTCTGAAACTCCACGTGAGGTGTTGGTAAAGTGTCAGTGAGTTCTGTTCACAGGGGAGTTGGACAAAACAATCCCTTCCCAAATGGAGAATCAAGGACACCCAGCACCCAAAAATCATAAAAAAGTGCCCAAAGTGCTTTTATGATAAAGCACCCAAAAATGATAAATAACAGTGAGGGAAAGGGGGCAAGCCAGGGGGCTGAGACTTCATAACATGGAGCTGTAATTGGACAATTAACCCCGATATGTAAATGAACCAAAACTTATAAAAATGTAAAAACTCCTGACTGGGATCCATCTTCAACCTGGGTGCAGTCCCAGCCACACCAAGGTGGATCCTTTCAATAAATTCCAATTTTATTCCTTCTAACTCTCCCTAGTCTCTGTTCCAGGTCAGCCTTTCCAGGCATCAGTTCTGGCATCAAAAATCCTGGGAAATAGTTGGGAATTTGAGGCCTGGAGAAGCTGGCAAACCCCAATGCCATCCCCACGTTTGGGGGTACGAGTGGGTGATGCTGCCCCAAGGGACAGCAAGTCCAGGATGATTTTCCAGTGGGACAGAACCCTAAGGGACAGTAAGTCCAAGATGATTTTTCCATGGGGCAGAACCCCAAGGATCAACAAGTCCAGGGTGATTTTCCAATGGGACAGAACCCCAAGGGACAGCAAATCCAGGATGATTTTCCAGCGAGACAAAATCCCAAGGATCAGCAAGTCCAGGATGATTTTCCAGTGGGACAGAACCCAAAAGGGTCAACAAGTTCAAGATGATTTTTCCATGGGACAGAACTCCAAGGATCAACAAGTCCAGGATGATTTCTCCATGGGACAGAACCCCAAGGATCAACAAGTCCAGGATGATTTTTCCAGTGGGACAGAACCCCAAGGGACAGCAAGTCCAGGATTATTTTTCCAGTGGGACAGAACCCCAAGGATCAACAAGTCCAGGATGATTTTTCCATGGGGCAGAACCCCAAGGATCAACAAGCCCAGGATGATTTTCCAGTGGGACAGAACCCCAAGGAGCTCAGGAGGAGCCCCAGAGAGGTGGGATGTGCTGGCAATCCCTGTTCCAGCAGCCCCAGAACTCTGGGAATGGCCACAGGGCAGAGCCTCCGGAGCTCCTTCCCTGCCCTGGCTCATTCCAGCTGCTCCCAGCATTTGTGGAGATGCCAAATGGGGCCCCAGCCATGGGAGGAGAGGGCGTTTTCCTGGGGATCACAGCAGAGCTGTGGCTTTAGGTCCTCCCCCAGTGCTGGAGGAGCTGCCAGGCAATGGCTTGGAACGATCCCGGGTCTCTGCCAGGGAATATTCATCCAGGATCCCCGTCCTGCCTTGATAGGAACTCTCCCATGGGTGATCAAAGAGAAGAGCTCGGCCTCCCACTGCTCTTTAGCTCGGGGCCAGTTTCAGCAGGAGCTCTCTGGGCAGCGTGGCTGGGCCAGCTGGGCCAGCTCCGGGCTTGTGGTGGCTTCCAGGTGCTCCTTCATCTCCCACAGCATCAGGGCTTCTCCTCATCCCGGAGAGCACCTGGAGACTCCGTGTTCTGCTCCATCCCTGCTTGCCTTGGCTTGTCCTCCCCGATTCCCTGGGGTGGGACAGGTCCTCGGTGCTGCAGCCACCTCCTCCCGTGTCCTGCTCTTCCTCCAGCCTGGATTTGGGCTGGGAGCTCTCAGCCCTCACCTCAAACGCTCCTCAGGCAGGGTGAGAATGGCACTGTCACCTCACCTCCTGCGTGGGACACTTGGGAAGTGTCTGGGATCTGGGAAGATCCTGAAGGGACACGGATCCATGGATGTGACTCAGGGAGGGACATTTGGTGATGGAAACGCTGCTGGGAAGAGCCCCCTGAGCAAGGGGGGTCAAAATCCATGGATGTGACTCAGGGAGGGACATTTGGTGATGGAAACGCTGCTGGGAAGAGCCCCCAAGGGGTCTCGGAGGGTGGCAAAGGACACCTGGAAGAAGTTTCTGGATGGGAGAGCTCGGAGCATCTTCCAGGGAGCTCCAGGAGAGCTGGAGGGGGACTGGGAGCAAGGATTGGAGGGACAGGACACAGGGAATGGCTTCCAACAGAAAGAGGGAAGGTTTAGGTTGGATATTGGGAGGGCGGGCAGGCCCTGGCACAGCTGAATCCACGGCTGCCCCATCCCTGGCAGTGCCCAAGGCCGGGTTGGAGCAGTGTGGGATGCTGGAAGGTGTCCCTGCCCAGGGCAGGGGTGACACTGGGTGATCTTGAAGGTCCCTTCCCCTTTCCCTGCCCCATGGCCCGATGGTTCCATGCTCAGCTCGGCTCTGCCCCCCTGCCCTTTGAGCCAGGGCAGCGGCCCAGGAGCACCAAAGTCCCCGCGGGGGCCTGGCTGTGTCCCTGTGTCCCTTTGTCCCTGTGTCCCCCGTGCTTGTCACTCTGTTCCCCTGTCTCTGCATCCCTATCCCTCTGTCCCCCATCCCTGTGTCCCTGTCCCTCTGTCCCCGTGTCCCTGTCCCCGTCTGTGTGTCCCTCTGTCCCTGTCCTTGTCCCCCCGTTCCCTTGCCCCTGTCCCCCTATCTGTGTGTCCGTCTGTCCCTGTGTCCCCTTGTCCCTCTGTCTCTGTCTGTGTGTCCCTGTCCCCCTGTCCCTGTGTCCCCCTGTCCCCCGTCTGTGTGTCCCTCTGTCCTTGTCCCCCTGTCCCGTGTCCCTCTGGCCTGTCCCCTGTCTGTGTATCCGTGTGTTCCTGTCCCTGTCCCCCTGTCTGTGTGTCCGTGTGTCCCTGTCCTTGTGTCCCCCTGTCCCTGTCCCCTGTCTGTGTGTCCCTGTCCCCCTGTCCCTGTCCCCTGTCTGTGTGTCCCTGTCCCCTGTGTGTCCCTGTGTCCCCCTGTCCCGTGTCCCTGTCCCCTGTCTGTGTGTCCCTGTCCCCCTGTCCCTGTCCCCTGTCTGTGTCCCCCTGTCCCCCCCAGCTCACCCCGAACCTCCCCCGCTCTCCTCCTCCCCCCCCGCTGTGACGTCACCGCTGAGCTCAGGCTCTATTACCATACCGCCATTTGCATTCCCTCATTTGCATACCGCCCGGCCAATAGGAACGCCGCTCCCGCGCCGTGACGTCACCCGCGGCCGCTCTATATAAGGCGTGCGCGCAGGCAGCGGCGCAGCCCGAGCGCCGCGGAGCCGCCGAGAGGTCGCGGGTGTCCCCCCGTGTCCCCCCCCGTCCCCGCCGGGATGAGCCATCGCCACAGCCACCGCCGCGGCCCCCGGGCCGACATGGTGCCCGAGATCGCCGCCGCCGTGGGCTTCGTGTCCGGCCTGCTGCGGACGCGGGGCTGCGTCAGCGAGCAGCAGCTGCAGGTGTTCAGCGGGGCTCTGAGGGAGGCGCTCACAGGTGAGGTTTGGGGGAGGAGAAGCGCGGCCGTGGAGAGCCGCTCGTGGTTGGGCTGGTGTTGTAGCCCTCGGGGCTAGGAGGCCACTGGTGTCCCCGCCGGGTGTCCCCCCGTGTGCCTTCCAGGACCGGGTGTCCCCGCCGGGTGTCCCCCCGTGTGCCTTCCAGGACCCGGTGTCCCTGCCGGGTGTCCCCCGTTGTTGGTTCGAGGACTGGTGTCCCCTCCTGAGTGGCCCCCGTGTGGTTCGTGGGACTTGATGTCCCCTCTCGAGTGATCTCCGTGTTCCTTCCAGGACCTGGTGTCTCCTCCAGTGTCCCTCCCGAGTGGCCCCCATGTCCCCTCCGGCACCTGGTGTCCCTGCTTGGTGCCCCCCTTGTTCCTTCCAGGACCTGGTGTCCCCTTCTGAGTCTCTTCTCGTGTCGCCTCCGGGACCTGGTGTCCCCTCCCGAGTGGCCCTCTTGTCGCCTCCGGGACCTGAAGTCCGTCCGAAGTATCCCCGTTGTCCCTTCCAGGACCTGGTGTCCCTTCCCGTGTCCGTTCCTGTGTCCCTTCCGGGACCTGGTGTCGCTCTTTAGTGCCCTTCCTTGTCCCTTCCAGGACCTGGTGTCCCCTCCCGAGTGCCCCCCTTGTCCCTTCCAGGACCTGGTGTCCCCTCTGAGTCTTTTCTCGTGTCCCCTCCGGGACCTGAAGTCCGTCCGAAGTACCTCCGTTGTCCCTTCCAGGACCTGGTGTTCCTGTGTCCCCTCCGGGACCTGGTGTCCTTCCTTGGTGCCCCCCTTGTTCCTTCCAGGACCTGGTGTCCCCTTCTGAGTCTTTTCTCGTGTCGCCTCCGGGACCTGCTGTCCCCTCCCGAGTGGCCCCCTTGTCCCCTCCGGGACCTGGTGTCGCTCTTTAGTGCCCTTCCTTGTTCCTTCCAGGACCTGCTGTCCCCTCCCGAGTGCCCCCCTTGTCCCTTCCAGGACCTGCTGTCCCCTCCCTGGCTGTTCCCAAGTGTTTTAGGGTTGGGGGTGGCCCGGTTTTGGGGCCGTGCAGACCCCACAGGCGCTGCCGTGGCCGGTCCCGCTGTCCCCAGCCCCTGGCACCGTGTCCCCGCGGGGTCTGGGTGGCTCAGGGGTCCCTCCCTGCCTCCCTCCGGCCCCGGGGCTCTTATCAGCCCCAGCGAGGGGTGGCCGGGCTCTGATAACGGGTGCCAAACGCTGCTGTGGGATGGGGCAGTTTTGGGGTGGGCGATACCGTATCTGCCCCAGCCCGACCCCGCAGCCCCTGGCGGGGGAGGATTTTGGGGATGAGGGAGCTGCACTGAGGAGCCTCGGGAGTGGGGTCTGGGATTTGGGATTGGGATTTGGGCTGGCAGCTCTTCCCTGTCCCCTCGGGGAAGGGGTTTGGGTCCCATCTCTTTGGTTACAGAACTTTCGGCACAGTTTAATTCTTGTTGCTGTGCTCTGCCCCTTTCCTTTTGTGCTGTTGGCTTTCAGGGAGCTCTGCCCGGGTGTTGTTTGGGATTTGGCCTTGAAAACCCCAAATTAATGGGGGCTAAAGGCCCTAAACCCCTCCTGCCAGCTGGGAAGGAGCATTTCCTGGGATATTCCTGCTCACTGCTCTTCCCTGTTCCCTTCTAGAGTACTAAAAGCACCCTGAGAAATCTTTCCAAGGGTGTTCTTTAGGGTTCAGCTTTCAAACCCTAATTTTAATGGGGACTAAAGGCCCTAAACTCCACTTCCGGCTGGGAAGGAACTTTTCCTGGGATATTCCTGCTCACTGCTCTTCCCTGTTCCCTCACAGAGCACTGCAAACATCCTGAGAAACCCTTCCAAGGGTTTTCTTTAGGATTTACCTTTCAAACCCTAAATTTAATGAGGGCTAAAGGCCCTAAACTCTACCTGCCAGCTGGGAAGGAACATTTCCTGGGATTTTCCTGCTCACTGCTCTTCCCTGTTCCTTCCCAGAGCTTTAAAAACACCTCTGGCTCCCTGAAAAACCCTTCCAAGGGTGTTGTTTGGGATTTGGCCTTTAAACCCCAAATTAATCAAGGACTAAAGGCCCTAAACTCCTCCTGCCTGAGGGATTTCCCTGCTCAAGGCCCTAAACCCCACTTCCAGCTGGAAGGGAGCCTTTCCCAGGATATTCCTGCTTGTTGCTCTTCCCTGTTCCCTGGCAGTGCACTACGAGCACCACTGGTTCCCTGAGAAACCCTTCTTTAGGATTTGGACTTGAAACCCCAAAATTAATGAGGTCTAAAGGCCCTAAACTCCACCTGCCTGAGGGATTTCCCTGCTCAACGCCCTAAACTCCACTTCCAGCTGGGAAGGAACATTTCCCAGGATTTCCCTGCTCACTGTTTTTCCCTGTTCCCTCACAGAGCACTACAAACACCCTGAGAAATTCTCCAGAAGGCATTATTTAGGATTTGGCTTTCAAACCCCAAAGTTAGTGGGGTCTAAAGGCCCTAAAGCCCACCTGTCAGCTGGGAAGGAGCCTTTCCCAGGATATTCCTGCTCATGGCAGAGCACTACAAACACCTCTGGTTCCCCAAGAAACCCTTCCAAGGGTGTCCTTTAGGATTTGACCTTCCAACCCCAAATTTAATTGGGTGTAAGGGCCCTAAATCCCACCTGTCTGAGGGATTTCCCTGCTCAAGGCCTTAAAATCCACTTCCAGCTGGGAAGGAACCTTTCCCAGGATATCCCTTCTCCCTGCTTTTCCTTTCCCAGAGCACTCCAGACACCTCTGGCTCCCCGAGAAATCTTTTCATGGATGTTCTTTGGGATTTGGCCTTCAAACCCCAAATTTAACAGGGGCTAAAGGCCCTAAACTCCACCTACATGATATCCCCTGCTCACTGCTCTTCCCCTTTTCCTTTCCCAGAGCACTCCAGACACCACTGGTTCCCTGAGAAACCCTTCAAAGGGTTTTTTCTTTGGGATTTGGCCTTTAAACCCCAAATTTAACGGGGACCAAATGCCCTAAGCTCCACTTCCAACTAGGAAGAAACCTTTCCCAGTATTTCCCCTGCTCACTGCTCTTCCCCTTTTCCTTTCCCAGAGCACTCCAGACACCACTGGTTCCCCGAGAAACCCTTCAAAGGGTTTTTTGTTGGGGATTTGGCCTTCAAACCCCAAATTTAATGGGTGCTAGAGGCCCTAAACTCCACTTCCAGCTGGGAAGGAACCTTTTCCAGGATATTCCTGCTCACTGCTCTTCCCTGTTCCCTCACAGAGCACTACAAACATCCTGAGAAACCCTTCCAAGGGTGTTCTTTGCAATTTGGCCTTCAAACCCCAAATTTAACGGGAACCAAAAGCCCTAAACTCCACTTCCAACTAGGAAGAAACCTTTCCCAG